CTGTGTACACACTCCAGCATCTTTCCTGTGGATACAGAAGATTGTGTACACTCTCCAGCATCTTTCCTGTGGATAAAGAAGACTGTGTACACACTCCAGCATGCTTCCTGTGGATACAGAAGACTGTGCACTCTCTCCTGCATCTTTTCCCAAGAATTTTAAAGAATTATTCAAATAACAACTTGCCTTGATAGTGTAAACATTTTAATTTTTAAAAAATTATTTATTTTTGGAAACTTATTTTTTCTTTTATGTGTGTGAGTGTTTTGCCTGTGTACCACATGTGTGTCTTGTGCCTACAAAGATCAGAAGAGGACATCTAATCCTTGGAACTGGAGCTGTAGGTGGTTACGAGCCATCATGTTGGTGCTGGGAACTGAACCCAGGTCCTTTGTAAGAGCAGCAGGAGCTCTTAACCACTGAGCCAGCTCTCCAGCCCCCAGTGTTTAATTTTAATCTTCCTAAAGTGTCTACACTACTTCTCTAGGCGGTCATGTTAAAGGCTTTTAAGTTTTAATTCTGAGTTGAAAGTTTATTGATGTATTTCATTAAATACTGTTGATTCCTAAAACTGTTATTTTAACATCAACTTTGGCTTGAGAACAAAACTTTTTGGCATTACATTATTTTTTTAAAGCTGAGGAAATTGTCTAAGCAGCCAAAGGTGAAAGAAAAGAAAAAAAAACCTTAAAGCCAAGAAGAATTTTTCGATTTAATAACAACAACAATTCAATCTTAGTTTTACCCTCCTTCTAGTTTTCTTACACTTATTTGGTTCATATGAGTGACGTGCGTGTGAGGTCAGAGGGCAGCTCTGGGGAGTCAGTTCTGCCCTCTACCTGTATGTTGGTCGAGGGTCCAAGCTTAGGACATCAGGCTTGGTTTGAGGCAGCACCCTTACCTCAGTAGCCGTCTTCCAGGTTCCTTTTTTATTTTTTTTGCTTTTATTTTATTTCAGTTATTTATATGTGTTTGTGCATGACTCTGGGTGTGGGTGTATGGATGCATGTACAAATCCCTGTGGAGGCCAGAGGTGCCAGCTCCCTCTCGAACTGGAGTTGCTGCTGGGGTCTGAACAAAGGCCCCCAGGAAGAACGTTCGTAACCGTGGAGCCATCTCTGCAGCCTTTGGTTGCTCCAGAGACAGAGTCTCATGTAGTCCCATGACCCGGAACTTGTGAGCCTGCTCCCTGCCTCCCCAGTGCCCGGATGGTGGACACGCCTTGTCACGCCGAGGCTCCTGCATGTGTAACAGACTCTTACTTCCTAGCCGCTGGCAATCGTGTTTTTTCTGCTCTGCCCTCCAGGGAGGTTTCACGCGGCAGATCGTTCGGAGCTGATAAAGACCACAGAAAACGTAGACGTGTTGATGGACGTGAAGCCGTCCTGGACCACTCGGGACGTGGCCCTCTCAGTGCACCGAGCTTTCAGGTGACGCTTGTTGTTGACGTTCGCTAAGCTTACGTGAATTGGATTTCATTGTTTAAAACAAAAGAGAAAGGTCTCGGCTGTTCCGTACTTTAAACAAAATTGACAATTTACAATGGTAAATAATAGATTTATAGATTTATTTTTATAGACAGTCCACTTGTTCTTTTCATAATATGTTGAATTTTAATTTATGTAAAGAGATTTTAAAATATTCTCTAACTTTTTATTTTAGGGATTGGTATATAATTAAACCTTTTCCCGTGCAGGATGATTGGTCTGTTTTCTCACGGCTTCCTGGCTGGCTGTGCCGTGTGGAACGTTGTCGTGATCTATGTCCTTGCGGGAGACCAGCTGTCTGGCCTCTCCAACCTCCTGCAGCAGTACAAGCCCCTGGCATCCCCGTTCCAGAGCCTCCTCTACCTGCTCCTGGCTCTGAGCACTGTGTCAGCGTGTGACAGGTAAGGCTGTGACGGTGGATCCTTCTAACCTGTCTTTAGGAAGCGATGGTGAGCAGAGTGTGTCACCACCAATGTCTGTGTCAGGAGATCCTGTTTGCAGGTGACGTCAGCTTCATGAGGACCAGGGTTACACAGTCATCGCTTACTTTGGGGAACACAAGTCGACCCATTTTTTTTCTTTTCTTTTTTTAGCAAACAGCAGGGCTGGAGAGATGGCTCATTGCCCTCCAGGGGAACCCACAGCAGGAACTCACAGGGTAGGAACATGGAGCCATGAACTGCAGCCGAGGTCATGTCAGGAATGTTGCTCAATGGTTTACCATCCATGGCTTGCTCAGCCAACTTTTTTCTACAACCCAGAACTACCCGCCCCAGGGATGGCATCGCTCACAGTAAGCTAGGCCCTCCCACATCGATTCTTAACCAAAGAAATAGCCCCATCGGCTTGCCTATAGGCCAGTCCTATGGCGGCGTCTTCTCAGTGAGGTACCCTCTTCCCTGCTGACTTGTGTCGGTAGACAAATCTAGCCAGCACTGTAGCCTGATCTACCGAAAGAGGAGGAAGTTACTGATTTTTGAAGATGAGAATTAGTTTGCTTTTTCATGATGTCTTAAAACTGAATAGTCTCAGTATTAGATATTTGATGTGGCCTTGTACTTGGAGACTGGCGGGCGACTGTGGGCCTGGTGCCAGCCGACCAGGGAAGGGAAAGCTGGTAAGGAGGGAGTCACTGCGCACAGTGACAAGCCTCCCCATTTCATTCCAGGACCGACTTTGCGAAAACCTCAGTAGCCATCCGGAACTTTCTGGCCCTGGAGCCGACAGCCTTAGCTTCTTTCTGTAAGTGATAGTCTGCCTTGATGACCGTCATAACCGAGGAGTCAAGGAAAGTACTTTACAGACGTTTGATACTGTTTCTTTGTATGAATCATTACTTATAAGTCAGGGAAATTGTAATTTAAAACATAGGAGTAATTTTGATAGAACTTTTTTTTTTTGAGGCAGATCTCTTACATAGCTCCGGCTGGTCTTGGATTTCCTGTGTGGTTGAGGGTTGCCGTGAGCCCCTCGTCCTCTTTGCCCTCCCTGGAGAGCTGGGATCTGCGAGCATGCACCGCCATGCCTGGCTTCCAAGTGTTTTCCAGTTTTTCTGAAAGTCCTCGAAATGACTTTCATAAGTTGAATTTGTGTGTAAGGTCCTGGGGTTCATTCCCTGCACCAAAAATAATGAAGTTAGCTGCGTTGGCCTTCATAGTTGTCTGGATCCTGTGTTTTCCACCTGGCGTCGGGCAGACAGTTGGCCTTCTCGTAACAAGCAGTATTTGTGTATCCCTGGCAATCGGTGACACGTTTGTTCTGGGTTACAAGAATTTTATTACAGTCTGAGCAGCTGGAAGCAAGTCATTTAAATTCTTAGGAGATCTTCTAGGTTCCTTCTCCCCAGTCCTAGTTATGACGTAGTGCTCGCCTGTTATACCGCGCCATATCCGTGCCAAGTAAGAAGCAGCTTCCTGTGGAAGGGAACTTCTCTTGTGCAGCCTGTCACCGAGTGTGGGTTACTCGGACCTTAAACAACCTGTGCATCCGTGTCAACAGGAAGTAAAGTCGCTGTCATTTGGCCTTGGTTTTTCTTCCCAGTGTACTTTGCTGCGCTGATACTGTCCCTGAGTCAGCAGACCACAAGTGACAGGATCCACCTGTACACGCCGCCGGGTAATGGGAGCCTCTGGTAAGAGTTCACAACTTCTCCACGTTTTCATCCTTAGATCGCAACCAGGCCACGTTTCTGTTTATAATAAACCATGAGAAGAAAGCGCCCGTTTTGTTGGCCAGTGAATAATGATCTTTTCATAGCCTTGCTTTTGTCTCTCCTGATTTGTATATTGACTGTGCCTCCTCAGTGCCGTGATTACAGGCAGAGCCACCACACCCAGCTCACCTGAAGTTTTAAAGGAACTGTGTTCTTTTCAGAAGTATGTTTAACTCTTTAAGCCATCGGGCAGTGGGGCTGGAGGTGCTCTGTGCCTTTACCGCTGGCGGAGCCCTCAAGACCACGAAGCAGTGGTGGACACGGGGTGGCTAGAACAGAGGCCAAGAACTGAGCAAGTAGCTCTTGGAAGAGAATATGGGGGAGCCGGCATCTGTAGATGAGCGGCCAGCTGCTGGGGTGGCAGGGTGCCAGAATCCCAGTCTGTTCTGAGAGCATGGGTGGGGTGCACTAAGAGAGAAGGAGAGGGTGGTCGAGTGGGGAAGATTGCCATGGTGTTGTGGCGGAAACGGTCAGGACTCTTGAGGGGAGTACTGGCTTTTCATCTCTGCTAATCTGCAGAGAGCTGCTCAGACTCTTCAGACGTGTTCTGAGGCCTCTTCTCTACTGTTTGTTTTAGGAGACTCAGACTTATTTCATACTTGCGATCTCTCTAGGAGAGGGCTACTTTTTAGAAGTTCGTACAATCATTACATTTGAACATGCAAACAGAAAGGAAGGCATTTCTAATGAGCCTCTCTTCCCCAGGGCAGCAGAAACTGAGGAGCACATTCTTGTGCCGTGGATCATCGTGAACCTGGTGGTGGCCCTTCTGGTTGGGTTATCCTGGCTCTTTTTGTCTAATAGACCAGCCACAGATCTTAGTGAAGGTATTAAAATACAGAGATAGGAGTATTCTGAGATTTCTCTTCTCATCTTATACGTCTTCCAATAATACTTTAATAACAAAGACATTTAAAATAAAATGTTTAGAAGGATAATGAAAATGACAAGGTCTCAGGATGGTGGAGGAAACAGGGAGGAGGGCCTAGAGAGCTGGAGCCTGGAAACACTTAGCAAGGGTCCTCAGCCTTCTGCGCATGCAGCCCATGTGCCTTCTCGGAGTGCTCGGGTCCTGCTAAGGCTCTGCTTTCATCGCGCTCAGCCGTCTTCACTTGGTGACGTCACGCTTCGTCAGTATCGCTTCTTGTTTCGTTCTTATTTTACCCTCAGTGTGCCCAGTGCCCAGTGAAGTCACTAATCTCTAGACCCATGACTCTTCAGAACACCCAAAGGGGAACTCCCCTTAGCAGACGGCCGATCGTCAGCCAAAGCTCCAGGAGCACTTGGCGCTTTGCTGGACACTGTACTGCTTGGCAGGGCCTCCCCATTTTCATCCGTTCATACATCATTTCTGCCACCTAACCAAACTGATGGGCTCCAGTGAGAGGCCCTGCCTCAGAGAAGAATGTGGAGAGTGGCAGAGGAAGACGGCTGACATCCACTGCCAGCTTCTGATGTGTGTGCACCACAGCATGCACACACTCGTGAACATGTGTACCCTACACACGTATTCATACACAGTGACATTGCACTCAATGTATTTTGCTGTTTTTCTTTTTTCACGAGGTATGTTTTTTGTTCATTCGAAGAATTTTTATATCTAATGCTTTATGTCAAAGGAGTTTTATTTCTATATTCTCAAGGTTTAATTTTTCTCCATTTCTTGACGTTTTAATGATAAATAATGTTTCTGTGTGAAACACTAGTTCAATCATGAAAATGCCAACTTCCTGCTCTCCAGTGTTGCTGAGACTGGTGCCGCATCCGGCTGGCTTGTGCAGGTTCTGTCTCAGTTGCAGCGTGCAGAATTTTAGAGACTGGGGGCTGGAGAGATGGCTCAGCAGTTAAGAGCACTGGCTGCTCTTCCAGAGGTCCTGAGTTCAGTTCCCAGCGCCCACATAGTGGCTCACAACGTCTCTAATAGGATCTGATGCCCTCTTCTGGCCTGCAGTTATACATGCAGAGCACTCACACAGAAAATACAAATAAATTTTTTTAAAAAAGTATTTTAGAGACTACTGTCTTTTAAGGGTGGTAAAATTAAAAAGCAAAAACAAAACGAGGGGAATATCCAGCTTATTGAGTCTTTTGGGGGTGAAATGGGATCGCATATTCGAGGTATTTTAGTAGACACCCAACATTAGCTCTGAATCCTACTCCCCTGTGTCTTAAATTACCTGATAGACTTAGATCATCTTCAATGATCCTAGGCTGCTTAGGTGACTTAATTTTCTTGGTAAGATGTGTTTCATTGTCTATTTTTAAGATGTATATAATGAATTTAAAATTTGAACTTCTAAAAATATAAAACGTGTCCACTTGCTGCCAGTGTAACGTTCAGATAAGAGAAGCCTCCCTGAATAATTCATACTTGTATTGGAGGGCTGTGTGTTTCCCTGCACAAATCAGTGTTTATTAAGCTGAAGAGCTGGGAAAGTGTTTAAAGTGTGGTATGTTCATTTTCTTCTCCAGAGCTGATGTTCTTCTCTGACGTGGAAGAGTACCCTGATAAGGGAATCCAAGCGTCTTCATAGTGCCAACACCGCCTCTGCAGCAAGACCGCACTTCCTCGCTCTTGTTTTTATAAGATGTGCGTGTGTGTGCGTGCGTGTGCGTGCGTGTGCAATTGAGCTTTTGTTATATGATGCTGAAAGACTTGTGAAGATTATGAAAAATGTTTAAATTGTATCTGGTCTTTATACCCAGCGCTAATTTCTATAGTATTGTCTGCCACCTTAGTGATACGGGAGATAATGGGCTAAAAAAGCAGGGGAAGCATTTGATTCCTGTTCTCTCACATTTGCTATATTCATAATCATAATAAAAAGCACCAATTTAGAAAAGCCATAACTTCAGTGTTACAGAATATACATCACGTTTAAATGTAAGTGTAGAGAATAGGTAGAAAGGAAAACACCTTCATTTTGTATTTTGATGTCCCCTTAGTGAGCACACTACAGTATAAAGTCTGTGTTTTCTGAATCTGTGTATCATGTAATAATTATAATTTGAATTGAAAGATATTTTACTTTATGGCTAATAAAACAGATACCTTTCCATTTGAAAAGCTTTTCAAAAGTTTTATTTTTCTCTTTTAAAATCTGTTCCGGTTGTTCTCTTGTCCAGCGGCACGTCAGAATCTGCAGGAGCTTTGGAAGAACAGCTGTGAAGGCCGGGAGTAGTATTGTGTGGTCGGGAGTGAAGGCGGGAGAATCAGGAGGCCAGGGCCACCGTCTGCTGCTTAGCAAGTCTGAGTCCAGCCTGAGCTACACAGGAGCCCTTTTCAGAAACCAAAAGCAGCAACAATAAACTCAAACATAGCAAAAGAAAAGCCGAGCCATGACTCAGCTCAGCCCTGTGATTTCGGGCTAACCTCTGTGGAGTGTCTTCTCCCGCCCCCTGCCCCCTCCCCATCTTTTTACAGTTGGTGGATAGCAAACCCAGGGTCTCATTCTGGTAGGCAGGCGCTCTGCCACTGGGTTGCATCTTTATCCCCCTTGTGTTTCTGTTTGTTTGATGAGAAAGGGTCTTGCTGTGTATCCCAGACTGACCTCAAACTCCTGATCCTGCTTCCCCAACCTCTGGAATGCTGAGGTGGCAGGGCCCTGGTTCCTCTTCTGAGTCACAAGAAACACGGGTGAAAGTTCACCATCCTCACTCTCAAACTCTCTGTCGGGTATCTTCAGGTTTCTGGGAAATTCCACATGGAAAAGGCTGTCTTCACACACTTCAAATCTTTCTTCAGCTGTTGCCTGTGAGCCCCTATAGCATACGTCAATGGGGAGACCTTAAGAAGATAAAGTGGGGGCTGGAGAGATGGCTCATTGGTTAAGAGCACTGACTGCTCTAATAACCTATCTGTAATGAGATCTGGTGCCCTTTTCTTGTCTCCAGGTATACATGCAGGCAGAACACTGTATACATGATAAATAAATAAACATTAAAAAAAGAGAAGGCACCAGATCTCATTACAGATGGTTGTGAGCCACCATGTGGCTGCTGGGAATTGAACTCAGGACCTTTGGGAGAGTAGGCAATGCTCTTAACCACTGAGCCGTCTCTCCAGCTTCAAATGCTTTACATTTTTAAAAGTCCAATGTGCAGCTGGCCAATGGGGACACACACCTTTGATTCCAGGCAGGCAGATCTCTGAATTCAAGACCCGCCTGTACTACAGAGCAAGTTCTTTGATAGCCAAAGCTACACAGAGAAACCCTGTATCAAAAAACAAAGAAAAAACAAACAAAACAAGTATCCAATGTGCCTTAGAGCCACCTTTAAAAAATATCTTTAAACGTTAAATGGCCAATAAAGTTCTAGAAACTTCTTGGTTCACTTTGTGTATAATGGTTAAATTTTCTAATTCTGAAACAGCAGAAGGAGTTGATGAGTCGGGCTGGGAAACCATAGAGTAAATCATTGTACTTTTCTGTATGAGAGTTGTCCCAGAATAGGAACAGTAAGGAAAGTGTAGGGTTCTTGTATCAAGGATACAATTGTCTTAAGAGTCAGATTTTTGTGAATGTGACGTTACTACCGCAAATGAATGTGGAGCATGCTAGAGCTCCGGAGGTTAGATAAACGTATAAGCCTGTGCGCCGTGTTTGCGGAATGGTCAGATAAATGTATTCAGGTAGGATGCTGGAAATATACATTTGTCACACAGGTGATAGTGCACAGAAAGTGATATCTGATATTATTAATCTAAAAGAAACGGTGTGGAGAGAGGCGGGCTCCTAAGACTAAAGTACAATTTAGAAAAATAGTACATCAGTTGGAGGCGGTTGCCCACCAGCAAGCTCTGACTTCCGGAGGAAACAGAAAGTGCCTGATGAGGAACCAGAGCAGATGGTCCAGCTTGCTAAATCCACACCTCCAAACCCAGGAGACCTCCGGCCCTGCAGCCCGGGCGTTCTGCACGTGGTCTATAAAAGCGCGGGAAAGGCAGCTGCGCGCGTGCGCAGCAAACAGCGGTTGGGTTAGTGGCTAATAGGGCCCTGAAGAGAATGTAACAATGGAGTTGCCTCCTCCGGGAAACCGGAGGGTTTCCATCAGTAACCCTCAAGAGACACCCCACAAGTCTTCCACCGCCCACGGCATAATGCCCGCCCGCTCGTCTATGGCCTCCTCCACTAGCTCCACGAAGCCCCACTCCTCGGCTGATGACCACAAGTCTTCCATCTCGAGCAGTGTGCCAGGCGGGTCCAACCCCCAGAAGAGCTCCCTCCTCCCTCCGGATGTCCCCCTGCAGCAGCGCAGAGGATCCACCGCCTCCTCCGTGCGCTACGCCGACGAACAAGTCAAGTCTTTGGCCTCGGACAAAGACAAGGACAAGGAGAAGAAGGACAAGAGCAAGGGCAAGAGCAAGAACAAGGGCGAAGGACTGCTGAACGTGAGTGGCCCAAGTGGAGGGGGGGGGGTGGGGCTGAGGACGGGAGACCCGCGGTGCCCTCAGGGCTCACCCTCTGGGGACCTCCCTCGCTAGACACCTTGGGTCGGTTTTTTTTTTTTATTGACTCCTAAGTGAAAGACCGTGAATAGGCGCTAATACTCGGCAGGGCAAAGGACCATCACTGCCTGTTCACTGCGGGCAATGCCATGGCTGGGTTGTCATTTATCAGGCTAGGTGGTAAACCTGAGACACTTTATTTTTT